CTGCTCTCAGGCCCGGGGCCTGCGGAGCGGGACCGCGCAGCACCGCGCAGCACCGCGCACATTGCACCCAGCCCTGCCCCGCAGAGCCCTGCCCACGCCCTGACCCCCCCACTTCCCTAACGGGCAGAGGGAGGAGGCTGCCCACGGGCGGATGGTGGCAGAAGGGGATGGAAGATGCCGAGCGACCCCCCCTGGAAATACCGCCCCCCCCGGCTGGGGAAGGGGCCGGTGGGCAGGTAGGACCAGGGAGGCCCGGGAGCTGAGCCAGGCGCAGGTTGCTGAGCTCTACTCCATTAGGCTTGACCTCGCAGCAAGCTTTTCACAGCAAAGTCAGCCTGGGGAGGAAGCCCGGGGCTGTTTCTCACCTCTCTCTGCTTTGTATTTCCACTGTCAGGAAGGAGTTAATTCGTGTGTGTGTGTCCCCCCACTCCCACTCACCCCCCAGGACAGATTTCACACTGTGTCCAGGTCAGCCAAAAAAGGGGAGGAAATGGAGAACAGCGGAATGATTAATTCTACCTGCTTTTCCCATGAGTGATCACCTGCTTTCGGGGTCATGAATAGCAGGTAGCTCTCCCCGTCTCCAGCTCTGAGAGGCTCATTTGTTTGGTGACAGCTGAGTGACAAGACCTGAAATCCGAGCCCTCAACTTTGCCTGATGTGTGGATAAAACCCTGGATGTTCCCTCAAACATTTCAGGAAATGAAAGTTGTAACGCGATCCCTTGTGCGCCCACATCTCCCCCAGCAACACACAAAAGCTCAAAGGAACCTTCTCGGATTAAATTCAGCCTGGAGAGGATGGAAGGAAAATGGAGAGCAGGCTGAGAAAGCTGGAACTGGCAGGCTTTTCTTCAGCGCTTATTGGAAATGTCTGTCCAAAGCGGGGATTTAGAAAGGTCACCTCTACCGTAAGCGCCTCTTCCTCCAGCGGAGGCCAACGGGCAGCCCGCTTCTCCCCAGCCTACCTCCGCGTTGGGGGCAGCCTGGAGCTGGGGGGGGTTACGCTTAACTTCCCCGAGCAGGAAATTCAGTGTATAAAAACAAACACCCAAGGAGAAAGCCAGCCCCCCTCCTCTCTCCTCATCTCATTTCCCGGGCCACTCAGCCCCCGTTGCCCAGAGCATGAGCCACATGCCCGCTCTGCCCCTGCCCCGCTGCCAGCCCCTGCCCAGCCCCCCTTCCCCGCTGCCCCCTGGCCCGGCAGAGGGGCAGGTACGACCCTGCTCTTGGCCCCCACAACCCTGGGCCACGCGCTGGCAAATCTCCCCCAGAGACCCGCGGGGAGGAGCGGACGCTCGCTCAGCCGAGGGATTTAACTGCAACATTTCCAGGCCTGGCTCCCTGGAGCTCGTGCATCCCCAGCTGCATCGCCAGGAGCCCGGAGCCGTGGTGAGGTTAGGAGACCTTTGTGCTCTCTGTCTTCACAAACCAGGCCTGCTCAGCCAGACGTCGGAGCTTTGTTTTGAGCGCATGGGTTTGGAAAAGTCAGCAGCTGGAAGGAGGCAGGGTGTGCGGGACAGGCAGCACGGGGCCACGGCATCCGGGCTGCCTCCCTCCCGGAGAGATGGTTTTAGCGAGCCGCCTGTCACCCGGCGGCCAGCGGCTGCTTGCGCTGTTATCCGGCCTGAAGATAAAGCGCTATTTAACTATTGTTTAACTATTATTAAAGCGCTTGGGACTCTGCAGGCCTGTAAAGAAAGCAGCGCATGCCCCAAGATAACTCTTCACCTCTGCGCTTCTCCCTTACTCCTGCTTTTCTCCGGAGAGCAGCTCACGGACACTGCACAGCCACAGGCGGAAACCTCCCCGTCTGCCTACCCGGTACGCTTTGCTGGCGGTAATTTTGCACCCGAGGAAGAGCTTGCTATGGGGTGACACTGCTGGGGGCTGGGTCTCCGTATACGCTGCCTTCAGAGGCAGGTGCTCGAGCCTGCCCGACGCGCGCAGATGTCATTAACAGCAGCAGAAGCAGTAAAGGGACAGCCAGCGCGGTGCTTGGCTGGCCTGGCAGTGGCAATCCATCTTCAAGGATGGATTCTGCTGTTCCTGCTGGGGCCGAAGCCATTGGGTTTTCTGAGGGCACCAGGCGCTGCGTGGGATGAGCAGAGGTGGCAGGGGCCAGATCTACAGGAGCTTTTGTTCAGCTCAAGCGTACAAAGCAACCTAATACACCGTCATCTTTCCCAACTGGACGTGGACACAATTTTAAATATGGAAATGGAGGAAAATTCGCTTTGATCTTCTGGCAGAGAGAGGGAATTACCAGGCTCCCCAGAGATTACCAGCGCTCTCCCCAGCAGCAGCCTGATGCTGTCTGGAGAGACGGTACCAGGCTGAACCCCCACCCCATGCCACCCCGTCTTTCCTTCCAGCTGGACTTAGCACCAAGCGCAGGAACATTTCCTCTCTCCCCATGGTTTCTAGCATTTGCTCCCACCTCCCCAAATTCTAAACAGAGGTTGAACTTCCTCCAAAGCATATAATCCCAATCCTAATAATGAGGTTAAAGAGGCAGATTTAGCTCAATTACCATTTCCTGTTTTCACTTGGCCAGTGCTTTTGGAAAATGCCTCCGTGGGCAGAGTAGCTCCTTCCTATCTCTGCCTTAACTTCTCATCCACAGCCTAGCTCTGCAGAGATCATTTTGGTTTGGTAGGGTGCTGTACCTGCTCAGGGTCCCTTGGCTTCCAGCCGTGATAGAAAAGGTACAGAAGATCCTCATGCCTGCTTCACCGGGTGGAAGAAAGGGAAAAAAATCATCTTTTTCTGACTTAAGGATGGAAAAGCTTTTAAGCTAATAGCTGGGGCGTGTATCAGCCCTGTTTTACAGGAGGGGAAACCGAGACCCAGGGAGACAACAGACCTGCTGAAGGTCAGCACAAGGGCAGATGACGAAGCGGGGAGGGCGGCTGCCCTGCGCCAGCGGCTGGTGCTCCGTGTGCCCACGCCACCTCCCTTTACAGCCCCCATAATAAGTCTCC